AAAATAGGAAGCAACTCGAGTTAGTACTGGATTTTCATCAGGGTTGGAGCAAGCTCTTAAAAACCATGGCGGGGGCATTCTAGCTAAATGAGGCTCTAGTAGAGAGGGAAAACACACACATGAGAAAGGATAAAGTGGATTGTGAGTTTGGATGGACGGAGGTGGTAAGTTTAGATGGACTGAGGCAGAATTTACCCAGACCAAAGTTGTTTAGATAGCTTCCCTGTGGATCTGAATTGGACATCCTAGAAGTTGTTCATTTGTTGCTCTTTGCGCTCTTTTCTAGGGTCTCTTCTGCAGTTGAGGGTTCTGCTATCTCTTATCTCACCATTCTTTAGGCCAGGAGTCTCCAACCTTGGCAGCTTTAAGATCTGTGGGCCCTAACCCATATCGGCTAAGGGATTCTGGGAGTTGAAGTCCAAAATTGTTCAAGCTGAACAGTTGGAGACTCCATCTCCTAAGGCCCCGTCTCCTAAGGAATTTTTCTGCATACCTTTACAGAAATGTCCTGTCATTTCCCTTTATAACTCTTCCTTTACTGCAAATGGAGTGGAACAAGTGGCCAGTTTTAAGTTTCTGGGTGTTACCCTAAAAAAGGACCTGGGGTGCTCACATTGCAGCCCTGGTCAAAAGGGCCCAGCAGAGATTATACTACCTGAGGCTTCTCAGAAAACAATAACTGAATGAGAAACTGCTGGTGACCTTCTACCGCTGCACCATAGAGAGCATTTTAACATACTGCACCTGTGTATAGTTTGCCAATTGCTCAGGGACAGATAGGACAGCACTCCAGAGGGTTAACATCATTGCCCAGAAGATCATGGGTTGCCCTCTCCCCGCTTTGGAAGAGCTTTAGAGCTCCTGCTGCCTTAAGAAAGTTCAAAACATTCTCAAAGATCCATCTTATCCTGGGCACCCCTTTTTTTGAACTATTACCATCTGGCAGATAGTACAGAATAATAATAAAAACAAGGACAAATAGGCTGAAAAACAGCTTCTATCCCAGGGCAGTAGCTCTTTTGAATTCTGCTGTACAGTGCAATATTAATGCAATATCAGGGGTTTTCAATTCAATGTGTGAAGGGTAAAAGATGTGTGTTTGTGTTTATTTTCATGGTCATGGTCATAACGTGCCCTGAAGATGGTGTTTGATTTCGTTGTATGAGATGCAATGACAATAAAGTAAACTAAACTAAAACTAAACTAAATCCAGATGGAATAATTAAAGCCCCTTTAACAAATATTCTATTGCTTTTTTCAAATCCCATCTGCTCTTCAGTTGTGCTAAATCATAAGGAATGTGTGTATGTATGTTTGTTTGACCTCCTTTAAAGTGTTTCCAGAAAGAATGGGAGAGGGGAAATTCAGTTAAATTACCTCACAGGTACCAACATTCTTCACATGGATCTCATAACGACCTGAAACATATCTGAGAAAATACCCCAACCTCTTTTGAACTATATTTATATACCGGTGGCAAGAAACTAGAGAAATTACTTTCAAGAAAAGCTTTTTCCACACCTGGCCAGGACTCCCCCCACCCAAATTTGAGATCAGTGGGAATTTTTGCACAGATGTTAGTGAGGTTTGAATTCAGTTCCTGAGGGAGTTTGGGCTGTCATTAGAATTTAGAAATATCTTCTTTTTCTATATTTAGTTATATTGGATAGCAATGCAGAATAACGATGAAAAGCGGTGGGGAGATGGCTATGTTTGAGGATCTAATGTTTGCTCTAAGCACTTCTGATCTCTTAAATCCTCAAATATTGCTTTAAGCAGTAATGGGTGGCTCAGATCTGATGCTTTATTAATTTCCTCGGAACCTCTGGCGGTTGACTCATATCAGGACAAAGCCCGGTCTTGTAATGTCTTGTAAACTCAAAGTAAGCCGCTCCAAACTCGATTGCAGAAAATATGACTTCAGCCACAGAGCGGTCAATGCCTGGAATGCCTGGACTCTGATGTTACAGCCTCAACCCCTCACAGCTTCAACCTCAAACTGTCTACTGTGGACCTCACCCCATTCTTAAGAGGTCCTTAAAGGGGGTGTGCATTAGCGCACCAGCGTGCCTACCGTCCCTGTCTTACTGTCCCCATTTATCTGTATTTACTTCCTTTGTTCCTGCTTATGTTCATACTTATACTTGTTATCTTGTATATGTTTGACAAACAAACAAACAATAAATAAATATCTTCCAGAGAAGGTAGGATATTGAATTTCCCACTTAACTTGGAGAATAAATTGACCCCCTCTTTTTTGTAAAATATTGGAATATTGCTATCATGTCATCCCAGTCCTTCTTTTCATTAATCTGGATGTACCCAGTTAACATCACCAAACTCACCCAAATGAAGTTTTGACTTTTTGAAATGGTTAGACGATGCCATTCCTTTTTATTCAGGGCAGTAGAAGAACTCAGTTGTTACAATTTCCAATATTATTTTGGTCTCTATGCTTTTCTGGACCAGACAATTAATTTCAACACAGAGGAACGATAGGAAAAAAAAAATGACAGCAAATGCAGAATATAATTTGGAATAAGAACAGCTTTCAAAGTCTTACAGCCGTGTGCCTGAGCTTGATAAAAACTAAAACTTGAACATGAATGGGGACTCTGGATTGTTGCTGTTGTGTTTCAATTCTCATAACCGTTCTGGGACTGTAGATTTTGATCAATTTCAAATATGTTTCCCCTCCTTTTGAAGGTTCTCTCAATGCCTGCACCGCTGCGGAGAGTCACGGCGCTGATATAATGATTGCTCATCTTTTTATTACTGTCTTCAGAAAATAATTGGTGTTCCAAATTGGTTCATCATCAGATGGCTTCCTTCCTGTCACCGAGGAGTTGATAGCTTTCTCTTGGCCAATGTTGCCTCGGCAAAATTCCATCTAATTATCATCTAATATTTTCTGACTGGCATAACTTTGTTACAGTCCTCACTGTCTCATTGATTTTGTAACTCTGCTGGATTTCTTAGGTAAGTGTGCGTGTGTGTGTGGGAAGACATTAAGGGAGATTCGTTGGCTAGCTCATCGACTTTACTTTGGGGCAAAATCTCATCTACATCTTCATTGCCATCAAGTGATTTTAGCTGATATCAAGGCTGATATAAGAGACTTCAAACTGTTCTCTTCTCCCCACTTGCAAAGATTCTACTATAGCTTACAAATTCAACATCTTCTTCGTGATATCCACTGAGATTCAACTTGAGAGGAAATGTTGCTATATCAATGTTTCTGATCAAAGGATGGGCCAACTTGCCATGCCCAACTCACGGTGGGCCAACTTGCCATTGGCCAACTCACGGTGGGCCAATTCAACATTTCAATGCAATAATTATTTAAAATAATTGTAAAAATATTTTAATTTTTCTCATTCACCTTTCATTTTGCCTTCCCTTTTACATCCTTTTTTTAATGAGCCCATTCCACCATTTATTGATATTATGTCATTTTTGTCCTGCAGCAAGTTATCCCATGGTGATTTGGCCGTGTTGAATTGTCCTGTGGCAAGTTGGCTGTGGTGAATTGGTTATGGTGAATTAGCTGTGGTGAGTTGTCCATGGTGACTTGGCTATAGTGAGTTGGCTGTGGTGAGTTGGCCATGGTTAGCTGGCTGTGGCCAATTGGCTGTGGCAAGTTGTCCTAGGCCTGACCCAGAGATGACCATCACGTCACCCTCTCTTCCACCCTTGGCATGTGACCCTCTGATTCCAACCAAGTTGGTCACTTTTGAGTCTTCAGCCTTCTTTGGCATTGGAGTCCATCTCTGAGATTCTTCCTTGCTCCGTCAAGAAAATAAAAGTAGGTCACAACTTTTATGTCACACAACCTTCAGGAACAATCCTGGGTTGATAAGAGTGACTTGGCCAAGTTGGAAGATGTATCACCTCAGCCCAATCGGTGTCCTGCTCGCACTGAAATTCCAATAATAAGATATATGACAAGCTCTTGGCAAGAGAATGAGGTGAGAGGAATTAAAAGTGAAATAGATAGGGCTCAGCGGGAGAAGGCTGGTGAGGGGAGACAGGAAGATCCATCTACTCGGTAATAAGGCTGAAAATTTTGATCCAGGTGGTTAGACAAAATATTGATGATGGATAAAGCATATTTAGTTTACTATTGATCGGTGTTTATGCAAGGCTGGACCCCAGGTTTTCTTTTCTTTTCTTTTTGGAAAGCAAGAATGTTCCAGTACATTTTTTTTAATCTAACAATTTGTTTTGGTGGGTGGGGTTTGCTTTATTAGTCCCCTGTTTTTAATAAAAGAAGCAAATGTGATTATTTGGGTTTTAGTTTGGTGTTTTAGCAGGGAAATAAATTCCCAAGAAGGAAATTAGGCTGTTTTTCAAGGGACCACCCAGACAACTCCCCAAAACACTGTCAGGGCACACCACTAATATACAAAGATAAAAGGAAACCTCAGTCCCTTCTAGCATTGATGATGTTACTTAGATTGGTAAAGAAATATCTGCAAGAAATCCACCCAGTTCAGAGAACACCAAAGACCTCATACTCCACCTCTTCTTCCTCCTCCTCCCTCCTAAATTTCCCTCCCTTCTAGTACTGATGATATTACCTAGTTTGGTAGTGAAACATCTGCAAGTAAACCACCCAGTTTGGAAAACCAAGGACCCCCCACCCCCCCGCTCAAGCAAGAGACCGTATACCAATTCAGACAAATGGCTGTCCAATCTCTTCTCTAAAACCTCCAGTGATGACACACCCACAACTTCTGAAAGCCATGTCTGTTCCACTGGTTAATTGTCCTCACTGTTAGGATGTTCCTCCTTAATTCCAGGTTGGATCTCTCGTTGCTTAGTTTCCCTCCATTGCTTCTTGTCCTGCCCTGAGGTCCTTAGGAGAATAGGTCAACCCCCTCTTCTCTGTGGCAGCCCCTCAAATATTAGAAGACCGCTATCATGTTCCCCAAATCCTTCTTTCCACTGCTCATTTGTCAAGAAATTTCTCCTTATTTCTAGGTTGCTCCTCTCCTTGATTATTTCTCATCTGTTGCTTCTTATCCTACATTCGGGGCTTTGGAGCAGGAGTCACCAACCGTTTGGACTTCAGGGACCACCAAACTCATAATTTTAAATCCTGCGGACCACTAATATGAATTTTGACTGACGGTGGCTTGCGGACGTTGGTGGGAAAGTCGGTCCCATATTCCAGAGCTGCAGGAGTCACAAGACTGGCCCTTTGGTCATCCTGGAGCACAGCGGTGGCTCTTCCATCCCAAGGACCGGCCTATAGATTTCCACTGCTCTCCTCTCCTCTGCCTTCTGCGTGTCAGGCACTGTACCCAGCTGTTCCTCCTCTTCTTCATCAGCCACCTCCAGACCCAGGGACTGTCAACTTTCCATCTGAGGTCTGACGGACGGCCCAGGCTCCCTCTCTCCCTCTTCCGCTCCCTCTCGTCCCCTCTCTCTGTTGCCTGGATGCTGACCCACCCCTCCTCCTCCTCCTCCTCTGATTCAGCTGCTAGAGGGGCCAGTCGCCAATAGGCCACACATCTTCAAAAAGGCAAAATCTATCAATAGGATGAATAGCGGATGTATCAATAATCCAAGCAGGCGACCGTCACTGTCAATGATGCTGCCTTTGAACCAACCCAGAATTGTCTCAGTGTTTCAACCACGATGGGTTGAAGGCTCAGGATTTGTCTTCTTAATAGCTACGCTTCTTTCTGCTTATCTCTTTGCTCCTCTTACTTTACAAAAAAAAAAATTCAGAGTTGTTTTATCTTGGAAGCATTACCCTTGGGAAAACGTTAAGAAGAAAACATACGCCTAGACTCTGTTAAAATAAGCAACACATTAAGCTCAGTTTACAGCTGCTGCAGTATAGGCTACCTATCGCTAACATCTAAAAGGGGTGCGACACCCCCTTCCCTTCCCAGGAAAGTAGCATGCACAAGTGTGCTTCCCATCTCTTACTTCATCTCTTAGTGGTCTCCCATTATTTGAGGGTCTGCCATAAAAAAGAGGGGGTCAATCTATTCCCCAAAGCAGTGGTTGCCAACTGCTGGGCCAGGGACCACCGGTGGTCCCTGGCCTACCCCTGGCCCACCGGTGGTCCCTGGACGTCATAACCCATCTGTTCCTCTTACTCCTCCGCTTCCTCCTCCCACCCAAATCCCAGTCCCTCCTAACACTGATGTTGTTACCTAGTTGGGTAATCAAACGTCTGCAAGAAAAAAAAAATCAAGCTTAGAGAACCCACAATCCTCCTCCTCCTCCTCCTCCTCCTCCTCCTCCTCCTCCTCCTCCTCCTCTATAAACCCCACTCTCTTCCAGCACTGATGATGTTACCTAGTTTGGGTCATGAAACATCTTCAAGAAACCCATTCAGTTCTGAGAACACCAAGGACCTCGACTTTCTTGTCTTTCTTCCTATCATCCTTAGCCGGTATTTCTAAGTGGTTTGATATGCGGTCTTCTCTGAAGATACGCATTTGGGGGAAGATAGTAAGAAATAATATTCCTAAGTATGAAAGAGGTTATTTAGGGTGGGGAGATGAAGAAGGGATGGGAAAAGGAGTGGAAGGGAGGGCAGCCCCAAAGCATCAAGAGACAAAAGATGAAACTGATGATGGTCTCTTGTTTTGTAACAGCGAGGAAATCTGAGAAGCGAGTTTCAAATTATTCAGAGAGATTCTGCATGTGAACCAAGCTGGGAAAGTCCCTCTGCAGTTTCCAAGATTTTGCTTTTATCTGTTTAGCAAATGAAGCAGGAATTTAGGAGAAGAGAGGATACCCCGGACTTCTCCCCCTCACCCGATAACTAAATTTTACTTAACTCTTTCACTACTATGCTCAACTTTAGTTTTCAATGTTTCTTTATTTTTGCATTCCCCCACACCTTATTAAACTTTATTAAAAAATACATTGAGAGGTGTTGAAAATGTGCATTTTTTTCCTCTATCACCTTAGTTGTCGGTTTGCCTACGTTGCTTAAAAGGTAGAGGTTTCCCTTGCACATACGTGCTAGTCATTTCTGGCCTCTAGGGGGCAGTGCTCATCTCCGTTACAAAGCCGAAGAGCCAGCACTGTCCCAAGACGTCTCCGTGGTCATGTGGCCGGCAGGACTAAATGCTGAAGGCGCACGGAACGCTGTTCCCTTCCCACCAAAGTGGCCCCTATTTTTCTACTCGCAGTTTTTACGTGCTTTCGAACGGCTAGGTTGGCAGAAGCTGGGACAAGAAACGGGAGCTCACTCCATTATGCGGCGCTAGGGATTCGAACCGCCGAACTGCCGACCTTTCTGATCGACAAGCTCAGTGTCTTAGTCACTGAGCCACCATGTCCCATATGTTGCTTACTGAGAGTGTTAAATAAATAAATATACTTTAAAAAGGTTTACATGTAATATAATTGTCTGAGAGATAGTCTGGAAGAAAATGGAATTTTAAATTTCTTATTCCACTTTCAAGCATTTGTTGTGCTTTAATATCTTGTCAATAAGCAACGGAAGGGTCAAGAGGCACCACCCTTGGCTATGTTTAAAATAACAGTGGTCCTTCACCAGTTTCTGCTTTTACCTTTAACCAGCATTACAGATCCCCTTGTGTTTCTAGATCTTGGCAGTTGTGCACTCTTGACAGCCAGACCGAAAGCATAAAACTCAGCCTCCTACCAGGCCAGTTTTTGCTTTCAGGAAGTTTATTTAAATCAGGGTGCATTCAAGAATGAGATCCGCCATCTGGGATTGAAGATTTGGTGCCAACAGGCTGGGAGTTAAAGACCGCAGAAAGCCATATCCCCCTTAGAAATCAGTGATAAATGGACACCAGTGAGATTTAATAAATAATGAATGATTGATCCCTAACTGGGGATGAAAGGAATGCAAATTTGATGAATGGATAGTGAAACGAATGAAAATAAATGCAGTCCTGAAATTAGGGTTTTTAAAAAAAATATTGTATGCTTTTGTGGGAACTACTGACTAAAGGAAGGAAAACATGGGTGCTTTAAGCTGTTGGAAATCTTGGTTGTAGTTGTCAACTTTGGAATCCATTTTTCACTTGGGATCTTCAAGGCTGTCACATTCAGTGCCTGGGAATTTGGGAGGAGGGATTTCATAGAGAGGTAGAAGATTAGACACAACAACATTCCTTTCTCAGAGAGTCAAGGACAAGTTGCCCTGCACCTGGAGGGGAGTGATTGGAGGGATGTCTCCAGGTGGGGCGAAGGTTTGATTGGACCATGTGATGGACTGATGGATGCAGGGCAGTGGTGGAATTCAAAATTTTTTATTACCGGTTCTGTGGGCATGGCTTGGCCTTCATGGCTTGGCGGGCGTGGCAGTGGAAGGATACTATAAAATCTCCATTTCCTCCTGACTCCTGGGGTAGTAGTATTTGGAATGGAGTTCCTAGGAAGGGTTGGGCTATTATGGACCGACTAAGTTGCACGCTCCTACCCTATTGAAAAGCTACTCCTAAGCTTGGATTTTCTAGAAATTATTGAAGACCCTTGTTATAGAGCAGGGGTCTTCAAACTTGACAGCTTTAAGACTTGTGAACTTCAACTCCCAGAATTCCTCCTCCAGTCATGTTAGCTCAGGAATTCTGGGAGTTAGTCTTAAAGTTGCCCAGTTTGGGGACCCCTGTTCTACGTGGTTGCTAAGAGTCAACACTGACATGAAGACGCATAATCGATAACCATCATCGTAATGAGAAAAGATTGCCACCCAGGAAAGATAGATCTGGCAGCATAGAGAAAGAAAATAATTTTGTGGCTTTTTTCTTTCTTTTTATGAGCTTGAAATTGAAAAAGATGTTCCTTGTTTCTTTGTGTGGCTCCGTCAATCCCATTTCCTGTAATTAAGGCAATCTGTTAGAAAAATGGTTGAAAGTATCATTAAGTGTCTGATTAATTTAGGCATTTTTCTTTCCCTCACATATTTTTTTTGTTTTAAAGAAGTTGAGTTTCGATCAATGTATAGTATTTTTTTTTTCTCCTTGCTTCCAGTCTGCCAGATTATTAAGGCTTAATTGCATTTCTCCGGCGCAACCCATTCCTCAAAATTTCTTGCAATTATACAATACCCATAGCTCATTTATTTATTTTTTTCCCCTTCTTGGTGATTAACACGAAAGACACTGAAAAATGTTGGATGTCTTCCTATTTCTTTTGTCTTATTGCTATGTCTTTCAGTGCCTTCTCCATATTCTTTATCCTTCTCTTCTAGGTTCAATTGCTTTGAGACATGTAACTAGAAATATACTCATTGGTCTTATATAATACTCTGCTATTTGTTTGTATAGTACTAGCTTCCTAGTACAGTATCTCAGATTTTCTCAGCTCTTTAAGAGGAGAAGAAATCCACTTTGTAGCAGAGAAGGTTGCTACTCATACTGGACCATGTAATGATTCATCATTTCCTTTTAACAACCCCATAATCCCTTGCGGGATAGCCCGGGCAACTGAATGGAGCTAGCAGAGTGTTTGAATGGCCGGATGCCCCTCCTGTTGCCAATGCGGAGTTTTGTTCAACAGATAAATTCTCAGTGTGCCCAAAGAGAGAAATATCCGCCTCTACCTAGGATCGAACTCACAGACTCCTGATTGGGAGACGAGAGTCCCACCTCTAGGCCACCGTACCACTCCAAGAACCCGTAATGACTGATCAGAAGGAAAGACCACTTTCAACCTCCATAGAGGAGGTGTAAAAAGATGATGGCCGTAATGGTGTGATTAAAACTCTGCATTGTGTGTATGACAAGGAAGACTAACCACATTGTTTAAGGTGGTTTTGACCAACATCTTGACTTCTTGACACCTCAAAAAAACCCTCTTGTTTATAACTTCTAAGAAGTGCTTGAGCAGGAAAACCCCATTCCATTTCAGACAAACGGTTGTCCAATCACTTCTTAAAAGCCTCCCGTGATGGAGCCCCCATAACTTCTGAAGACAAGCCATTCTACTGATTCATTGTCCTCACTCTTCAGAAATTTCTCCTGGGTTCTAGGTTGCTTCTTTTTCTAGTTTGCTTCTTTCCTTGATTATTTTCCACCCTTTTTGTCCTGCCTTCCGTTGTGTTAGAGAATAGATTGACCTGTAGCTTTATATGTTTTGGATGATTGAATTGGTTTTCCTGCACAGAGAACTAGACCTTGTTATCCTTCCAACATTTACAACCCCGTGGAGTGAAAACCTTGAATTTCTATGGTTTGAACATGGATTTGGTCTTTAAGGAAAACTCAAAACTACACCAATGATTAATGGCATTCCTAGAGATATTTATTTACTTACTTACTTATTTATTTTGTCAAGCGGTTATAAGATAACAGGTATAAGTATAACATAGTTATGAATACATGAAATGGGTACATATAAGAAAAATAAAAAGAATCAATAGAACAGGGCTGGTAGGCACGTTGGTGAGCTTATGCACAACCCCTACAGACCTCTTAGGAAAGGGGTGAGGTCAATAGTAGACAGTCTAAGGTTAAAGTTTGGGGGGTTTGGGGAAGAAACCACAGAGTCAGGAAGAGTATATTGTATCGCAAGCTTGTTCAAGTGTTTCATTGCAGTTGATGATGTTGGCAGATGGCGATAGGTCCAACTGTACATGCCTTCCTTGACTGATTCCTCAATAGAGACATGGTTTTCAGAGAAACAAAGGACACTGTTTTGAGGTTTCCAGCTGTGTAGGTAAATGAAGGGTTTCCACCAAGCTACCTTGCAGCTTCCCTTTAATCAACTTGAGCTTTGATCTTCTGCAGAAACAAAAGCATTCTTTATAGCTGGAGGTTTTAACACTCAGTGCATTTAATGGACAACCATCTGCGAGGCACATATTAACTGTACTAGGAGCAAAACTCCAGAAGATTTTAGGATCTTTGGGGCTTGGATGCGTTTCCTCTACAGCCACATTTCATTACTTCCTTTTATTTATCAAACTGCCCACCATTGCAACGGCCAGCTTAATATTTTCAAGACTGAAATTAAAAATGAAAATCAAAACGTACAGGAAAAACACGGAAAGGGAAGACAGAATGAACTGAAGCAATAACATTTTTTGTTTTTTAGTTATATGCCGGGAAATCTATCCATACGAAACACCCTTAGGGCTAAAGGATAAATAATAAGAATACAAAGATTGTAAATTTCCAACTTTTATTCAGTTAGGATGTTGGATTGGATCAGGTAATTTTTTTTTTTTTACTTACCCCCATAGCAGCTTTGCCTGGCTATTTACCATCTGTTTAGCTGCTACATGTAAGTTCTGCCATTTAAACTTTGATCTTCCTCCAATTCTTAAGCTGCTAATTGCTAGTGTTTTTGCCAAGTTTCAGAACCTTTTTAAAAAAGAAGATCTCTTGCTTTAAAAATACAAAAGAGAACCTCTGAACCGATCAAACTACTTTGCTTCCTGCAAAGGTTCCGTCATCTTGGCCTGACTCTCATCCTGAGTCCTCCTCAGACTCCTGGACTGGTTCCCGTTCTTTCCCACTGTCCGATTCCGCCGCTTTCTGCACAGGCTGCTGGCGAACCACAAGAGCTGCTGAGGTCCTTAGGTTCTCCTGAGAAGAGAAATCTAAGGTGGTCAGAAAGAGAAAGTCTTTCTTTTTTACCATTTTGGATCCAATTCCTTGCTTTTCTGACTCGTGACTCAACAAAATATGCGGCCCACCTTTGAATTACGTGCTGGTTTGAATTACGTGCTGATAGGTTACCACCAAGCTGTGGTTGCCTCTCTTTCCCCATCCCCCAATGTGTCAAAATTGCAAAATTGGGTGGGTAGAGAGTTTTAGCCTGAACCTTTATCCTATTACACTGGCCTTCGAAGTCCAGCTATGATAATTCATGAGCCATGCAATGCTGAAGGCTCTTATTAGGAGAATGATAAATTGAGATTGTCATGCCGAATCCTGTGAGCCAAATTGCCTTTTTGAAAGTAGGAAACATCAGATTGTACAGCCATCATTTGAAGGTTTTAGTGAAATTGGAGGCTTATTCATTGCGAGATGCGCGGTCTTGCTAAATTCTTTAAATTTTACACCCCTTGTTAAGTGTTATCATCATTATTATTTTTTTAAAAATTGCAATTGGGTATGTTTCTTACCCCTTTGGCATGTTGTTTTTCTTTTAAGAACATGTTAAGGCTACTTTAATAATAAACATAAAAATGTCCTACTGCTTGGAATGGTCAACATCCATCAGATAATTCTCAAGACACATGAATCGCAAAGACTGAATTAAACATTGAAAAAGGAAAGCAATGCTACACTTGGCTAGGTGTATATATCGAATATAGATGGAGTTATCTTGCCGATTGGCTCTGGCAGAGAGGGGGCAAAGAAATTCCCGACCTGTGTTTGTCAACCTTGACAACTTGAAGGTGTGTGCATCTCAACTCCCAGAATTCTCTGTGCTGACTGGGGAATTCTGGGAGTTGAAGCCCACACACCTTCAAGCTGCCAAAGTGGAGAAATACTGCCTTTCTAACAGGTTAATCGAAAGCCATCAAACATTTTCCAATCTGGCTTTGGAACTATCTGAATCCACCAGTCTGACATGATCATTTTTGGTATTAATTAATGGGTGAATTAATTAACATTTATTGGCTGCTCAACTCCAGTCCAGAGTCTTGTATCCTAGCTATCGAAGTCTATGTGTATCTCGCAGCATCTTGAGGTGGGGGGTGGGGGGAAAACAAATTTATTCTCTTCTCTTTCCTGTCACCTAGAGAAGAAATTTTACTCTCCCAAATCGTAACTTAGCTCGCCATCTCGCACTAATGAAATTCACATTTCTCCCCTTTCAATTGGGGGACAATGAATTCCAAGTGTGGATTCATCCATGGGTCACTGCTGACTTGGCCCTGGCAATATATCTAAAAATAGCTCTTCCAAAGTGAAATGAGGTGTGCAATTTCGAAGCACGCAAACCCACCAACTGACTTTGCACCTACTGCAAACGTGCAGCAACCGGCGAAGCATGATGGAGAGGATGCATTTGCAAAGGGGTGTGTGCTTGAGTGTGTCTGTCTCTCTGTGTGTCTTCAGCTTGCTTTCTTTTCTCTCTATAAAAGCGAAAGACCACTCACACGTCATCACAAAATCTCCAGAACCGGTAAAGCCTACGAACTTGAAATCTGGCATGTATGTTCCTCTTGGCTTCTAGGTTTTCACTAAGAAAGGATTTTTTGAAATGACCATCAGAGCATTTAAAGTATTTCCTATATTATTATTATTATTATTATTATTATTATTATTATTATTATTATTATTATTATTATTAACACGCTCTGATGCTAAGGAGTTCTACTCCTCCTCCCCACCTGGAAAGAAATCTCTTCCAAATGCAAAACACAAGCAGAGGAGAGGAGTTTCGGTTTCACAGCAGCACCAAGCAGCTTTAGTACAAAACAGTTGAGCTAAGCCACGCCCAGGCTCCTTGCTGTCTCCTTCTTGCTCACACAGCAAATACTTTTTCAGTTTCCAAACAGCCCTCAACTCTGACACACTGACAGGACGCTAGCCAGATGAATACTGACAGATGCTAGTAGGCAGAGGCAGAAATTCCCCCCCTTATTTTCCTCCCCCCAAAACTAAGCCCAACCACATAGTTTTGTAGTGAAGCACGGGTATCGAGCTAGTGCTGTTATATTTTCAGCCACAACAAAGGCATTATGGATTGATGAACAGCTCTGGGCTATGCTTCACCTACTATTTTCTGCTGCTACAATGGAGCCCTTGCAGGACTCAGAGATCCTGGAACAAAGAACCTTTAGCAATGGGTTGTAAATGCCCCTTTTAACTCAGAGCAAATTCTTCCTCCTCTTTCCCATCTCCTTGGAGCCTCCTTTGAAGTGGTCAGGCCTCTTAGCAACCAGGCCCGCTAACGGATGAACGAACGAATTGACGAATGAATGGCAGCCTATGGTGAATAGAATCGGGACTTTTCCTGGAGTGATATTCTGACAGTGTCTTCTGTGAGATTTTTGTTACCTGGTCGTGGTTCACAGATCTAGTTGCTGCGAGGTTTTCGTTTGGCAGACAAATTTTGCACGTTGTTTTTTTTTTCTTTTAACTGTAAAAAAACCTGGAGACTTTTAAAAAGGCTTTTACACTCTAAAAATGTAGACTTTTTGCGGACAGAAGGAAGCCAAAAAAAAAGAACTTGGGTTTTATGGGTTTGCAAATTAGAAAAAGGTAAACTGTGAAAGAATCAGTGGTTAGTGTAAGAGAATCAGTGCAAAGTGTAAATGGAATGATATCCGCTGTTAAGAAGATCAGATAATGAGGGGATTGGAGACTAAAACATATGAAGAATGGTTACATGAACTGGGCATGGCTAGTCTAGTGAAGAGAAGGACCAGGGGAGAGAGGAGAACAGTCCTCCAGTATTTGAGGGGCTGCCCCAGAGAGGAGGAAGGGGTCAAGCTATTTTCCAAGGCACCCGAAGGTCAAATAAGGAACAATGGATGGAAACTGAACAAGGAGAGATTCAACCTGGAAATAAGGATCAATTTTCTGACAGGGAGAACAATCAACCCATGGAACAGAAGTTGCCTACAGAGGTTGTGGAGGCTTTTGAGAAGAGACTGCACTGCCATCTGTCAAAAATGGTGTAGGGTCTCCTGCTTGGGTGGGGGGTTGGACTAGATGACCTATGAGGTCCCTTCCAACTCTGTAAATCTGTTCCTCCTTCCACCTTCGTGGTTGTGAGAAGGAGCAAAGATTGTCAGAGAAGCCCAATCTACAGACATCCTTGAGGCAGCTTGAGTGATCGGATCTCGGAAGGAACAAGACGCCGAGCCTTGAGTTGCAACCGCATGCAACCTTCCCGCTGGGTTGGACAACAAATCCCATCATCCTGTCTGCTGTGGCTGAGGGATAGGGTTGGGGTGGGCTGCTGGAGGGGTTCAGGGGTTCAGGGAGAGCCCCTAGCTAAGATTCTGTGCAGTTTGGAGAACGCCTGGCCCACGCCTCCCTATTCCTCCCACGTGGAGTCTCCACGTGGCCCGTTTTGGATGCAGGTAAGTGGAGGGCATGCATGGAGCCTCCGGAAGGGTGAAAAATGCCCTCCTGGAAGTTTGGGGAGGCTGGAAACAGGCCCATTTCCGGCTTCCAGAGAGCCTCAGGAGCCCAGGGAGGGCAAAAACAACCCCTCCTCCCCGCCGCGGTGCAGGAGGCCGACTAGGCCACGCCCACCATGGCCACACCCACCCAGCCACCGGGCAGAGAACCTGTTACTAAAATTTTTTTGAAGCCCACCTTTGGATAGGGTTGGTGGGAAGCGTGGGTTTTAGCCCCGATTCCATCCTGTACGTTTGCAGCCCAGGGATGTTTTTTCTTTTCTTTTTCTTTTCCTTTCGAAGAAATAATGAATGCCGGGAAAGGTTGGAGGTCAGAGCTGGTCTCCTTAGCCGTGTCAGGTGCCCGGCGGTTGAGCTCTGCGGAGGTGAGCAGCCCCGCGTTTAAATTATTTAAAGCCTGCCGTGTAATGGGTCTCGGGGAAGTGTGTGACCTAGCAAATCAACCTCTGCATAATGCATGTGGCATCCATCTCATTTCGTTTTTGAAGAACACTTAGGAGGAAAAGAAAAAATAAAAAAAAACCGAGAAAGGAATAGCAGCACACGACAATTTCCCTCCTTCTGCAGCTCCGGGCACGAACAGGCGGCTTCGATTGCAGCTGGCTTTTCAGGCTTCATGGCTGCTGGGCGTACCAAGGTTCCCTGCCATTGTTGCTTTTTGCTTTTTTTAAAAAAAACCCATATTTTTTATCTTACACGTATCCCCTCCTTTGCCTGGATTAAGATGGGGAACGCAGGGTTTAACTTGCAGATAAGCAGAGCTTTGGGTTCACCACAGATCAGAGAGGGCTCCTGTTTTGGGGTCGCTGATTAATCGTTGTTCCTTCTCGGGACTGGTTGTCCCAAAGGCGCTTTTTTTCAAAAGGCAACTGGACTTTCTATTTTCTTGGAAGAGGTTTCCCTTCTCATCCCAGAAGCTTTCTCAGTTCTCCAAAAGTAAAAGGTAAAGGTTCCCCTCGCACATGTGTGCTAGTCGTTCCTGGCTCTAGGGGGTGGTGCTCATCTCCATTACAAAGCCGAGGAGCTAGCGTTGTCCGAAGACGTCTCCGTGGTCATGTGGCTAAACACCAAAGGCGCACGAAACGCTGTTCCCTTCCCACCAAAGGGGTCCCTGTTTTTCTACTTGCATTGTTAATGTGCTTTCGAACCGCTAGGTTGGCAGAAGCTGGGACAAGTCACGGGAGCTCACTCCGTTACGCGGCGCTGGGGATTCGAACTGCCGAACTGACGACCTTTCTGATCGACAAGCTCAGCATCTTAGCCACTGAGCCACCACGTCCCTATTCAGCTCTCCAGTGTATAGCTAAATATCTATGGAGATTCTCAGTCATCCAGATCATTGTCCCAAAGGGGCTTTTTTCAAGAGGCAACTGGACTTCCTGATTTTTTGGGGGAGGCGTTTTGCTTCTCATCCAAGAAGCTTCTTCAGCTCTTCAGAAGCTAAAGCCTTGAGCCAGCTGTGAGCAGCAGCAGCAGCAGCCAGAAAAGCTAATCCGA